TCCACTGGTGGAACCTCTTCTAACTGGTTTGGTAGATTTGATGAACCGGTTCTACCAAACTGGTGCGAACTGGTAGGAACCCACCTCTGCTCTGGGCACTAAGTTGCAGAAGCTCATCCGATAAATTCGGTGTCATACTGATCCCATGGTTTTTCAGCTCTTATCTGTAATGCAGGTAGTCCTCCTTTAGAAACCACTAAATTAGGACAAATGGCTGTCTAATCTCTTTTTGAAAGCCTCCAGTGATGGAGAACTCACAACTTCCAATAGTTAATTTTCTCACTGTTAGGAAATTTCTCCTTAGATCTAAATTGCTTCGCTCCTTGATTACCGTATTTTTCGGAGTATAAGACGCACCAAGGTTTTGAAGAGGCAAATAAAAAAAAAGTTTTTGCACTCTGCAAATCTCCCCAAAACGGCCAGTTTTTCATGAAAACAGGCCCAGTCCCGTCCCCCCCCCCCACAAAAGGGCACAAATAGCCCTTAGGAAGCTTGTAGAGTGTTCCTGGAGGGGGTGGGGGTGGGGGCAAAACAAAGCAAAAAAGTCTTGTTTTTTATTTAAAAATAATAGCATTAGGAAGCTTATAGAGTGTTCCTGGGCACGCGGGGGGGGGGCAAAATTGAGCAAAAAACGCCCCATTTTTTGCTCATTTCTGCCCTCCCCAACCCCCAGGAGCTCTCTGAAAGCCGCCTACAAGCTATGCATGGCCATTTTGGTGAAGGGGCAGGGTTTCCGCAGACAAAAAAAATGCTGTATTCAGTGTATAAGACGCATCCAGATTTTCGGCCTCTTTTTTGAGGGAAAAAGGTGTGTCTTATACTCAGAAAAATACTGTAGTTTCCATCATTGCTTCCTTTCCTGCCTGCTTTGGAGAACAGGTTGTCCCTTACTTCTTCATGAGACCCTCTCAAATATTGGAAGACTGCTATCATGTCATCCCCATGTCCTAATATTTATCTAATATTTTTTTAAAGACCATATTTATTTTTTTAACACCTGTTCATCCAACCCCCCCCCCTTTCCCTCCAAATCGTCTTGCAGACCTTTCTGACATGGAGTTTTTGGATGACTCTTCCACCGAGAGCTTGCTGCTGAGCGGCGATGAATATAATCAGGATTTTGATTCGATCAATTTTGAAGAGTCCCAAGACGAAGAGGATGCTCTGAATGAAATAGTCAGGTGCATCTGCGAAATGGATGAGGAAAAAGGCTTCATGATTCAGGCAAGAACTCTGCTGTTTGCTGTTAAATTTTCATTGCAGAAAATTTTCACCCAGTTAATTTATGACAGGGGTCTCCAACCTTGGGAACTTTAAGACTTGTGGACTTCAACTCCCAGAGTTCCTCAGGCAGCAAAGCTGACTGAGGAATTCTGGGAGTTGAAGTCCACAAGTCTTAAAGTTCCCAAGATTGGAGACCCCTGATTTACAGTATTCTGCCCTTGTTTGTAGGATGAATTCTAGGCTGGATCGATCCAGCAGATTTTCAGTCTGCTCACAAATGTCATTGCTAAAACAGTCACGGTTCAGACTGTGGCTGCAAAAAAGTATTATGAATGAACTTGTTTGCTTGTTACTGTGAGGTTAGGGAAACCAAATCTTGCCATTCAGCCAGGCATAAATGCAGGCCACTGGCCAAGCAACCCCGTATTGTATTCAGGGCACCACAAACGTTGGGTTCTGACCTAGGCTTCCCCAGCAGCACGGAGCCAAGTCCTCCTCCCGATAAACCCCTTTTATTTAATTTACACTGAATTCCTCTCCAGCAAAGTCCTTCCTCTCCCACAGTCTTTCAAGATAGTTCACAATTACTGACCTTTATCAGGCTTGGAGAGTGGCCAGGCCGATATCTTTCAGACGCCGCAATACTTGGNACTCCTCTCTAACTGAGAGAAGATGGGCTCCAGCACGAGTCCAAAAGCTCAGAAGACTAAACCTCTGGTCCCAGTGACCGACCCAGATTAGATCCTGTAACATTATCCTGGGACAAGTATATTCGCCTTCGTTCTATGGCTGGAAATTGCTTACTGTGCCAGTATAAGGCCAGGATTTGGGCCTAGTTTGGTTTAGCCTATCATAATCTGGGTTGCCAGTCAGTGGGAAGTTAGCCGACTTCCTGCCCTATATTTTGCTTGATAAATAACTTCCAAAGCCAAAACCGATGCAATATCTTGGGCATTTGAACATTCAGGTGTAAAACATTGAAAGTTGTATATTTTGTTCCGTGTACCATCCCTCTATAGCTGCATCCCTGTGGTTTCCTTTGTAGATTACTCCGACTTCGAGGATAGTTCCCTTGACTACTTCGATAGGTGCTCCTCCCCCTTCACTCGGTCTTCTGGCAGCTCGCTGACGCTCCGCAGCACCACAACGGAAAAGAGCACCTCCTATCAGTACCCGAGGGCTATTCTGTCTGTCGATCTCAGCGGGGAAAGTAGGTCTGCTTTGCTCTGGGATACTCTTGAAATAGATGCTTTCCTGTTAATGTAATCATTCCACATTCCAAACCAAATGGTTTCCAAAGTCCATCGTGCTTCCTGCAGACTTCGGTCATCCGAACGAATGTAGAGCTTTCTGAAAGGTTTTCCATGCCCCTAAGGACTGTGAATAGATTTCCCCTTCTTTAATACTCGTTTGAACAGAGAAATGTTTTATTTTATTTATGTGGTCGATAAAATTCAACAGGACTTCATGGCACTTAATCAAAATACGCTTGTTGAGAAGTTTTGGTTTTAACCTGAGCCATCAAGTAGCCATCTCTGGGCCAGTGGTGGGTTTCAAAATTTTTTTGAACCTACTATGTGGGTGTGGCCTCCTTTGTGGCTTGCTGGCCATGTGACCTGGTGGGAGTGGCTTGCCAGCCATGTGTTCTCTCTCTTTCTCTCTCTTTCTCCCTCCCTCTCTCTCTCTTTCTTTCTCCCTTCCTCTCTTTCTCTCTTTCCTTCCTTTTGTCTGTCCCTTTTTCCTTTATTCCTTTTTTCTTCTTTCATTTCTCTCTCTTTTTCTTTCTTTTTTCTTTATTTCTTTATTTCTTTCTTCCTTTCTTTCTCTTTCTCTCTCTGTGTGAGTCTGTGTGTGTGTGTGTGTGTGATTCAATGGTGGGTTTCAAAATTTTTTGGAACCTCTTCTGTAGA